TTAAAAAAATATTATTAATATTTTAAAATACTAATAATTTTATTTTTAATTAATATTAATATTAATTTAATAAAAAATTTTTTCACATTATAATTTTTTACAAATGAAAGAAAATTGTCATTTTTTTCTGCCGGTACTGTATATATGAGTTATATTTCATACAATAAATTTAATATAAGACCTAGAATCAAACAAAATTGAATATTATTTGTTTACATTCCGAAGTTATTCAAGTAGCAAAGTTTTTTAAAAATTAAATTTTGAATACTGTTTAACTAATTAATCCTTTTTATTGAAAAAAAAGAAATATAGATTAATATATATATTATAAGAATTCTGGTTTTAAATAATATGAATAAATGTAATTTTTACTAATGTTAACTTCCACTTTAAACAATAATCATATATTTAGAGATAATAAAAAATCAGAAAGAGTAATTATTTCAACAACAAAATAATAAATTGGAAATGCTGTAAATAAGTAAATTATAAACTTGCATAATATTGCTATTAATGAATTTCTAAAAAATTTGTCCGAACATAATTATTAAATAACAACCGACAAATATGTAAGCGTAATAGTTCTATATTTGATTATTAGTAGGATGCGCCAGAATCTGACCGTGGACGAGGATAACTTGATTGTCTACCAGTGCAACCGATTCCTATAATTATGAATAAATGAAATGAAATAAGAAAAACGACTGTCAAAAATTGAATCTCGATAGAAAGAAGAAAACTTACTACAAACTCTCGGCTCAATGACTTCGTCGGGCAAAGGTGCGGATTCAGATATGGTAATAATTGTTAGAAACATCAAGGCAATGACAAAAAAGTCGGACAAGAGGGTAGAGAATTTCATTTTTACAAATGAACTTCGATGAATCAATTATAATATAGTGGAGTAAATTTTTTTCAATTAAAATTTTTCTTTGGAAAGATTTGCTTGTTAGCGAAAGATCATAATTTGGATTGAGAAAATTTCTAGTTGTATATATACATTTTTTTTTATTTTCGATCCAAATGCTTTTTCGTGGTTGATAGTAATGATACTTTCTTCTTTCCTTAATTTGTCGTTTAATCTTTCTGTTGATAATTAACTATACAGGAAATATTTGTCATATGGCATTCGCCAATGTACATAAATTGCAATGCATAATGTTCACTGCTGCGATATCTAACGATGTAGCAATTTGACGAAATTTCTTAAATGAATCTAGAATATTTGTGATTTGTTACACAATGTTTAATTAGGCATGTATAATTTTTCAATCGAACCTCGTTTTAAGAAAACAATGATCAGTCAGTTTTAATTTGTGACACATTACAGAGAGAATTTTATTTAATTTCTTGATTAGTTCTAAAATTGGTTATGTAAAGCATATACAGTATAGGCAATATATTTGAAGGCGACGAAATGTTAAATAAAATTTCCTGTCCTATTTTTTTAAATAATAAATAAATGATGCAAATTTTAGGATTACAGTTACAGGGTTCAGAATAATTATCCATATACTGTAGTTATGAAAGAATATGGCGTGACATTATTTTAATTAAGAATTTTATATAAGAACACAAGTGGCTTTTCTATTACTTGTTGTCAAAACAAAGAATTAGAAAAATGCAATTGGCGAAATGGAAATTACTATTTTCGATCACATGATCTATATTAATATGTAGTTATAATTAAATTTTATTTCATATACAATGTGTTAAGAAAAAAATTGAAAAAAATTTTATATCAAAATTTTATTATTAAATTAACAAATAAAATTATATAAAATAAAATAACCAATAAACATAGATTTCTAAAAAAATTGTAAATTTTATATTAATTTCTTAATAAAAAAACACTTGATATATGGCTTTGATATCTATTATCAATAAAAAATATATATTGTTACATAATTTGTCTCTTAAAAAAAAAAAGTATAAAGTTCAAAAAAAAAATATTTTTACTTTAAATATTTATTTTAATAAATATTAATATAATAATAAATTAATAAAATAATTATAAGTAAACATGTTTTTATATATTTTAAAAAATTTATTTAATTTAAATTATTATAAAATTATAAATATATATATAATTTTTTTTAATATATTATATAAATATTTTTTTATATTTTTTTATATTTTGTTTTTTATATTTTTTTGACAATTGATTATTTTTTTTATTTGTATTATTTTAATCTTTTTTATTTTAGATTTATAATATTCAAACTAATAGGTTTTTAATAATTTTTTTATTATTGCAAATGAATATTAAATACAAGACTTTTATTAAACATTAGTTTTATAGTTATTATAGCCTATTGCAACTTTTAACCTTTGGTACTTATTTATATTTCATGAATAGATTTGTACTACAAGTACTGAATAGTTAATATTTATTCAAAACAAGTTTTTTAATAATATTATATTATAATAATAAAATTTATTATAATTTTATAATTTGTCTAAAAAGTCTTTATATAGATTTTTTAATTTAATTTATATTTATAATTCAATAAATACTTAATAAAATAAAATAAAAATTTGAATATATAATAATAACAATATAAAAAACAAATTTACTTAATAAACTTTATTAATATATTATTATTTTTTTTTTAAAGAGCAGAATAACGATCCTTTTAGTTATTTTATTATAATTTTAAAATAATTACAATTTACAAAAAAAGATATATGTCTCTCTAAACTTAGTAGAGTTAAATACTAGGCTCAATAACCCTCTATATTTGCTTTGAGCATCTTTAAGACATATAGTAAAATGAAATTCAAAACCTATATAAGTATCTTTAGTGGTGTCTAGTTTCCTAGAGGTAGTTTGATTACCTAAACACATAAAGGTGTTGCAGTTATAGTTCCACAGGTTGGCCTCCAAGTTATGAATAGGATTAGCACCCTTGCTTTCCAAATATGGCTTGATGTACGGCAAGAGGGTCAGTGATGCATTACTGCTGGATTTGATTCATAATTGATTATCTTAATGCATGAAGGTGCTGCAGCCACTTTATGCAGGTTGGCCTTCAAGTTACAAAAAGGATTTGACATATTTACTGTTCAAGTGTGACAAAAGTGTCCAATAAATAGAGTTGGATATGGTTTTCTTATAGACATTATTATCTAACCTTATATATAAGACCTACATTATCGAGAAGTAAATGATTAACGTTACCAGCTCTGTTTGCAGGGGTAACTAGAATCCCTGGTCTTTACGTATTGTCCTATTAGATTTTCATAAGGCACAGCACCTAGAGATTTGGTCAATAATAATATGTACTGGTTTCTTAGACGTATCTAATCTAGCCATTAACAAGTAAACAATATCAGATTTGGTAATAATAGTTATGTTGATCTTTTGGAGGAGATAAACTATCTATCCTTTTTTTGAAAAATCATAGAAGAGAAAAACTTGTCAAAGCCTACTTCTTGGAGAAGGTTATCACTTCTTATATGATTCTTAAGAAAATAAAGATGACTGATCAGAGAAGTGATGAAATAGATTACAGTATTTTTAGAAAAAAGAAAAGACCTAGGAAGAAAAAACTTCAAGAAGAAGGAAAAAACCTAACTTCAGCAGGAGAGAAGGGAAAAAAGAGAAAGGGAGAGAAAAAGTATAAAAAGAGGAGGCAGAAGAGAAAGGGAGAAAAAGAAGAGGGAAATAAAGGTTTGCAATCAAGAAAGGGGAAGGTGAAGAAAGGAAGCGAAGAAAAAAATAAACAACTCAAAAAGTTTCTTAAAAAGAAAATTTTCAAGTGCAGAAGAAGGAGTAGGAAAGAGTTTTTTTTTTTTTTTAACTTTATTAATATATTATTGAAATTTATTGAAATTAATTGATAATAAAAAAAAAAATTTTAAAATATTAATTTAATTAACTTATAATAAATAAACAAATAAATTATATAAAATAATTTTAATTTATTTATTTGTAAAATAAATTAAAATTAAGTAAAAAAATAATTTTTAATTAATTTTAAACTATTTATTTATTTTTAATTAAATAAATTAATCTAAATTTTTAAAATTAATTTTATAAAATAAAAAATAAAATAATTTTTTATTAGTTAAATTATTTTTTTTAATTTTATATATAGTAAAAAATTATTTTTTTGACTATAATTTATACTGTATATAAATTTTCATATAAAAATTTATAAAAAATTTTTAATCAAAATTTTTTTAGTTTAAAAATTAAATTTTATGATAAATTTATTAATAAAATATTAAAAAAAAACTTAATATTTTATTTTTTATATTCTAAAAAATATATATTTAATATTTTATATTAAATATATTAATATTTATTTATTTATTATAAAAATATTTGTTCAAAAACTTTTTAAACAAACTATATTTATAAGTTAATTAAAATAATTAAAATAATTAAAATAATTTTAAATCTTTATTTAAATTATTTATAAATTTTTCAATTATCAATTATAATTATTTTATATATAATAATTTAATTATTTAAATTAATTAATTTATTAAAATATAATTTGTTAAAATATTAATTATAATTATATATATTTTTAAATTAGTTTTATTTTTTTAATAAATAGACTCTTGATTTATTGATTATATCAATTTATTTCTTTTGACATTTTGATTTTTTATATTATTTTTTATTTTCAATAAAAAAATTAATATAAATAATATAAATATAAAATATTAATTAATTTTATTTATTTAAAACTTATATATAAGCAATAACTATTTAGATATATTTCTTATTTAAAAATATTTTAATAATAAATAATAAATTTTAAGTTATTGCTTTTGTTTTATAAAATTTTTATGTAATTTTAATATTGATTATTTTAATATTGATAATTTTTTTATCAATATTATATATTAAACTATTTTTAAAATAAGATATTTATAATATAAATTCTTTTTTCAATTTATTTTACATATTTAATTTTTTTAATAATATTTTGCATTTATAATTTATAATAATAAATTGTTTTGTTTTATAAAAAGAATTAATTAGTTTTATATTAAGTTTATTTTAAGTTTTATATAATTCTTAAAGCTAATATTATAGTAAATATTTCCAATATTTATAATATAGTCAAGATTATTTTTATATAAATAAATTATTTTTCTTATAATAGAACACTATTTTTTATTATAATTTAAATAATTATAATTTTTATAGTTTATTAACTTATTTCATTCAATTAGAAAAAATTCTTTCTTATAAATTACTACTTAAAACTGAACAGTTATTATATAAACTATATTTAACAATTAAGTATTTTTAAAATTATATAATTTATATTAAATTTAAGAATTATTTATATATATAATATATTGTATTTATTCTTTATAGATTCAAAATAACTTATAATATATAAAATAATTAATCATATACTATATATTTATAAAAAAAATAAATAAATAAAATTTAAAAATTAGATATAGAATACCTTTAAAGCTTATTATACCTAATTAAAAATTATAATCCTAAAAATTGGAATCATATAGACTCATATGGACTCGTATATATATAAAAAACATAAGTGAGTTATAACCAGTATTGATAAAATAATGCTCCATTGATAATTGTCACATTCTTTTATTATATTATTCATCATATAATATGATGCATATCATATAGTAAATAATATGACAAAAGAATGTGACAATTACCAATGAAGTATTATTTTGCCAATACTGGTTATAACTCATCTATTAAATTTATTATAAGAGTTGAAATCGAATACAGAATTGTTAGGATCCTTATTAAAAATTGATATAAATTAAGTATAGATTTTTTTTTAATTTTTTTATTAGATTATTAAGCATATAGTATTTATATTATAATTTAGTATATTGTGATATAACAATTCT